TCTATCTATCTAACTATCTATCCATACACATGCGCATATACATAAACATAAACACATGTGCTTACACATAAACTTGCACACATATATAAGCACACATATGTCCGTACTAAGTCCATATGAAGATAACTAGTTAGATAATTAGATAGCTAGACAGATAGACAGATAGGTAGACAGATAAATAGATACACAGATAGACAGATAGATAGATTTATAGATCGATAGGTCGACAGGTAAATAGACTGACAGATAGATAAATATGTACAAAAATAGTTACATACATTCACATCTCTTTCTATACATATGTAAACATTTGTACAACTATGTTCTTTTACCAATGTAGCCTAGGTCCCAAGTAGTGATCGGCCCTGCATAAGCCCCTATACGACTGAATCCAAGGCCCGGAATTCGCGTCAGGATCTGATCGGGCTTGGTTGCTTTAACGGGATGACGGGGATTTCGGCAGGCTTTTTGGAATTATAGGCTTGAGGGACAAGGCCAAACCCTGTAGCAAAGGCTGCAACCTCATGGAGAGCCCAGTTGTAGAAGAGCCGTTGAAGAACCGTTGACAAATCAAGAGCCCGAAAACAAAACTCCGCCCCAAACCTAAACCACACCAAGCTGTTTTTCTCCGAAGCACCGCGGCTGCCATCAGGAGCTTTCTTCACCGCGAAGGACAGCAGCAGACGGGGCATCTCCTTACTACAGGGGCCTGAATGCTAAGAATAGAGCTTGGTGGGCATCTTATGGTACGTTGACAATAATAAGGAACCCGGAGAAACCATATTGGTAACTAGCTGATAATTCAGGCCGGCCTCTCTATTACAATCTATGCTTCTGGAGAAAGTTCTGTACACACCCAACTGGGCTGGTTGGTCTACAGGGCTCCCAGGTTGTTCAGGTTTATTTTGGTGTCTGAACAGTATTGACGGCGCTTTATGATGGGGTTTCCCTTAACAAGGTCGATGCACCCCAAGCCCGAGTCTGACTCTTCAGTAATCGGTCGTGTGGTTTATGCTCAGTTTAGGCTTGAGGGGTGAGCCTGCAAACTTGACGCTTCGACACAACTCTTTAGGCAAACTCAACAAGCTGCGAGACATCAACCACAAGCCGTTACTAACCCGTAACCCTTCCCTAAACTCTGAACCCTACACCCGTAACCCCTAAACCCTACACCCTGAACACAGAGGCCGGTGACTCCGGAGAACAGAGCTATTGGCTAGAGGTTCGAAGAACCGTCAGGTAAAAAAAGTATTACTTAGGGGCATGACAACTAGAAAAGGGTTAGGGCGGTGTATGCCAAACTATACTTGTATAGGGAGTGTAACAGAATACCTACACTAATAAAGCACTAATTCCAACCCCATCCAACCCCTATAATAGCCTGAGGAAGGTTCTCAAGATATAATATCCCATCCAAGTACTCAAAGAACTGAGTTGCCTTGCTAGTCAACCATGCAGACCTGGACATCACACTGAAACCTTGCATTCTATGTTTCTAGCAAGATATTACTAGCGGCAGAGCCCAGACCTCTAGGCCCCTCCAAACCCAAAACTTAGGGTTTTGGTTTAGGGTTTTTTAGGGGAAGGAGTCGTAACCTGAACCACAACAGAAGGGCATCATAAGCCTCTGCATGATGTCACCCCCTGCCGATGCCTGTACGTTGAAGCCTCGACCACAAAGCCTAGTCTGCAGACTTTCAACTCCCAGAAACGCCTTAATAGCTTGAGTAGGGTCCTGGGGCAAGAGAGTTATATGCAAACTATAAGGGGTTGCATTACAAGACATTCAGACCCTCTGGATTATGTAAACCCTAAACCCTAAACCCTAAACCGCCTCTATGTTATGGTTTCTGTGAATCTTGAGCATTTTCGAACACTAAGAAGTGATAAACCCCAAGCCCGACTTTCGGAACCCCGGAGGAGTTTAGGGTTTTGGGTTTAGGGGTTTAGGGGTTTAGGGTTTTAGGGGTTCAGGGTTTAGGGCTCAGGGGTTTAGGGGTTCAAGGTTTGGGGGTTCAGGGGTTTAGGGGTTTAGGGTTTTGGGTTTTAGGGGTTTAGGGGTTTAGGGGTTTAGGGTTTAGGGTTTAGGCGTTTAGAGGTTTAGGGTTTAGGGGTTCAGGGGTTTAGGGTTCAGGGGTTTAGGCTTTAGGAGTTTAGGGTTTAGGGTTTTAGGGGTTTAGGGTTTAGGGTTTAGGGGTTTAGGGTTTAGGGTTCAGGGC